AAAACAGAGAAGATCAAACATGACCTTCAATGTCAGCTCTCTGAGTTCTTTCTTTGGGCCATCATGTCTTAATTAACTGTAAAAATTTTCAGTAACTGTAGGATGTACCTACAATTCAGACCAGTCCTTCACCTTGAAAAAAAATTTCTGCAACACATGATAAAAGTAGGATGTCCAGCCTAATCCAACATATGCTAATGGTAAAGCATAAAAATAAAAACTTATACTAAAGAAAAAATAATACAACTAAGGGGCAAAGCCCACACCTTCTACCTCTTGGTGAAGAATAGACTCAATTGGTCAAGCTATGGAGGGTGAATTAATATTGTGTGTCACAGTCCAAGTAATCAAGATACAACTTACAGAGGTGGTCAGTATAGAGAGGTCAGTCTTCCACTAAGTACATGTGGTGTATGCACAGTCCATGAAAATTAGGCCAACTTAAGGAGGTGGCCAGTGTAGGGAAATGGTTAAGAGGTTCTACTGTATTTTATGAATTAAGTAAAGTTTCAGGATACAAAATCAACATGAAAATATCATTTGCATTTCTATACATTAACTTCAAACTACCTGAAAGGGAAAACAAGATCATTTATAATAGCATCAAAAAGGACAAAATACTTAGGAATGAATTTAACTAAATAAATGTAAGATTTGTACACTGATAGCTATGAAACAATGATGAAAGAAATTAAAGAAGACATAAATAAATGGAAGGACATCCCGTGTTAGTGGATTGAATGATTTGATATTATTAAATGCCCAGACTACCCAAAGTTATCTATAGATTCAATGCAATCCTTACTAAAATTCTAAAGACTCATTTTTATAAAAATAGGAATAATTCTAAAATTCATAAGTAACCACAGAAAATTCCCAAATAGCTAAAATAATCTGGAACAAGAACAAGGCTATAGGTACTACACTTCCTGATTTCAAACTACACTCCAAAGCTATGGTAATTAAAACAGTATTGCACTGGTATAAAAACAGACATGTGGACCAATAGAACAGAACAGAGAGCCCAGAGATAAACCTGTGCATATACAGTCAACTGATATTCAGGAGGGCACCAATAATACATGATACGGAAATTGTTCTCTTCAGTGTTTGAAAACTAAATATCCACATGCAAAAGAATGATATCAGACCCTTAAACCATAAGGGTGAGTTAACAAAAGTCATTCAAAATTGATTGAAGATCTAAATGTCAGACCTAAAACTATAAAATTCCTGTGAGAAAAAGTACGGGGAAAAGCTCTGGACATTGGTCTTGGTAATGATTTCTGAGATGGGACAGCAGAAACACAGACAACAAAAGCAAAAAACAGATAAGGAATGGCTCTACATCAAACAGAGTGCCTTCTGCACAGCCAAGGACACCATCAACAGAGAAAAAGAAAACCTACAGAGCAGGGGAAAATGAGTTCAAATCATACATCTGCTAAGAAATTAACACCTAAAATATGTTAGGAACTCTTACAACTCAATAACCCATTCAAAACATGGTTAGATAGAAAATTTTCAAAGAAAACTTACAAAAATGCAACAGGCCCATGAGAAGATGCTCAACATCAGAATAACCAGGGAAATGCAAGTCAAATCCACAAGGTACCATCTCAGACTGAGCAGGATTGCAACTATCAAAAATGCAACAAGTGGAGAGACTGGGCCACTTGTACACTTGGTGGAGATGTGAATGGTGAAGCAGCTAAGAAAAACAGTATAGATGCTCCTCAAAAGACGTAAGTAAATAAACACTGAACTACCATAGGATCCAGCAATACCGCTTCAGGGTATTTATCAAAAAATAAAATACAATCAGGATTTCAAAGAGATTATTTGCATTCCTGTGTTAATTGTTGCATTATTCCACAAAAGCCAAAAGTGGAAACAACCCAAGTGTCTATTGACAGATTAATGGATAAAGAAAATGTGGTTCAATAAAATGTTATTCAGCCTTAATTAACAATGAAGGAAATCCTGCTGTTTGTGAGAACATGGATGGATTGCAAGACTTTTTTTTTTTTGAGACAGAGTCTCATTTTGTCATCCTTGGTAGAGTGCCATGGCGTCATAGCTCACAGCTACCTCAAACTCTTGGGCTCAAGCAACTCTCTTGCCTTAGCCTCCCAAGTAGCTGGGACTATAGGCACCCATCACAACACCCAGCTATTTGGTTGTTGTTGTTGTTGTTGTTGTTGTTATTTAGCAGGCCCAGGCTGGGTTCGAACCCACCAGCCCTGGAGCATGTGGCCAGCACCCTAACCAAGGAGCTACAGGCACCCAACCAAACTTGGGTGTATTAAATTAAATAAGACTTGTACTAAATTAAATAAGACTGTTACAAGCCAAATTATGCAAGGTATCTGATGTAGCCAAATTCATAGAAGCAGGTAGTGATGGTAGCTGCCAGGGGTCTGGGGAATGGGAACGGAGAATCGCTCTTCCAGTATAAAGTTTCAATTCTGAGAGACGACTAAATTAGAGAGAAGTGCTGTGTCGTTGTGTCTATCCTTGACAACACTGTATTATCCACTTTAAAACTTGCTGAAAGGGTAGATCTGGTGCTAAACATTCTTACCACAAGAAAAATAAAATTAGAAATCACATTTAAAATGATGAGGAGGAAGATTTTGAACATTTGTCAGTCATCAGATTATGGAATAATTTCCCAAGGGAAATGTGGAAAATGCCATCATTTAAGACATTTGGAGCCAGACTGAAGAAAAACACATGCACACATAAAGTTGGCTCTGTCCTGCTCCCTTTCACCAAAGGCAAGACCCACACAAACATGACCTAAGGCACCACTGGACCCTACAGCCCACAAGCTCCTTCCAGACCACCCACTTCTGTGATGGGAGAAAGGGGAAGACGGGCTGGAACTGGTGACTCACGTCAGGATGGCTGGCTCAGCATGTTCCTGGCTCGGGCACAGCTTCCCCAGGGTGCCAGGAAAGGGGCCCTTCACACCAAGTCACCAGGCTTCCAGCTGGAGAAGCTCCTGGGAAGAGAGGAGGCACTTCTCCACTCCACGCTTCTTTTGTCATTGGCTGGCGCTTTGTTTTTGTTTTTTTCAAATCAGAAACAACGCGTGGAGAAGACCAGACCATATAATCTATACAGAACAAACTGAGCCTTAGGCCAGGGATCAGCAAATGAGGGTCCAAGGGCCAAATCTGGCCCCCAGCCTGTTTCCTTACGTGAACTGCTGTTTGAACACAGCCAAGTGTATTCATTTACGCAGCCTCTAGGACTACTGTCACTGCACCGTGGGGGACTTGAGTGGTGGCAACAGACTTTTGCGTCGTTAACAAAGCCTTAAACACTTACTATCCCACCCTTTCTATCCCACCCTTTCCTGAGGCAAATCTCTGCCCTGTGCTAATAACTTTGAGAACATTATTTCAACTATCTCCAAACTAAAACATATAAAATCCTCGCCTTCTTCCCTTCCTTTAGTATAGAATTTTAAAAAATGAATTAAAATTTGAACAGAATATGCCAACTGTCCACGAATCTAGTCCCAGATATCACATCCTAGAGCCTGGAGCACACATCCTTGATGCCCAAAACAGTGTAGCAGTTAAGAGTGGAGGCACTAGAAGTGGAAAGACCAGAGCTTGAACCCCAGATCTGCTGTCACCAGCTGTGTGAACTTTGGCAACTTACTTGTTCTTCATCGGCCTCCCCTTGAGACCCAGCTCAGAGGGCTCTTGTGAGGGGAGAATGCAATGCTGAGGGCAGGGCACCCAGAGGGGCCTCGTGTGTCTGGGTGTGCAGGTAACTACCTAGTGTTATGGCTACTGTCATCACCAAAAGATAAAAATTCAGAGAGATCAGCTTCCCAAGAGTGAACATGAAGCTAGTTAAACATCACCTGCACAGTTTTCCTTGGGACCTCCGCAGAGGAGGCCATTAATTTCCGGACTTCTGGTTGAATTCCCATCTGCAGCCACACCATGGAGGATCACCAGACCTTCAAGTTCAAAACAGAACAAAAGCAAACATGAAAACTTGGACCATTGCTTAGTGTGAATGTTCTATCAAGATCATGACCCCATTGTGAAAAGAGCAAAATCATGATCCATTTGTGTCCACAGGGTGGATATAAAGTTTGTGCACAATTTAAAATAGTTGTAACTTTATATTGCACATGAATTTTATGTCCACCCTGCATATACAACCATGCGTCTTATGGAAGGAGAGTTGGCCAGAGCTTGTGAAGGAGCCTCATTTATCACAAAAGCAGGAAAGTAGAGGACTGAGTTCCAGCCACTATGTCACTGTCATGTGGATTTCCAGGGAGAGTGAAGGGTGAACCCTCGTGGCAAAGTAGCTTTCCCATTCTGTATAGATCAGGTATTTCCCAGGTATCAACCACGGAATGCACTTCTTCCTGGGAGGATATAAATTAGATATTTGATCCATGAGAATCCTTTACAAATGTTATGTCCTCCAGCTATCTGTACCCGAGAAGGACAGGACTCATGTTTCTAAGGGAGACAGGAATATGTCTTGTGATCAGAATGGTTCAGGTTACAGCGCAAGTCCTGGTGCGGATCCTAATTCAAACAAACCAACTGCAAAAGGTTAATTCTGAGGAAATCAGGAAAATTTGACACTGGACATGAGATATCATTGAGGAGTTGCCATAAAGGTTTTAAAAAATGATAATTGTATTGTGATTTGGGTTCCAAAAAAAGAGTGCCTACCTCTTAGAGATACATAAATAATTATTAATAAAATTGATGCATCTGAGATTTTCTTTAAGATAATGTAACATGGACAGGAGGACACAAGGGGGGAAGGAAAGACAGATGAAACACAACTGGACACACGCTGATAATCGCTCAGATTCGGTGGTGGGTGTATTGAGGTCCATTACAATGCTCTCTTTAGTCTGTATATGTTTATAATGTGTGTGATACAAAAAAAAGATAGGAGATAGGGAAGAGGAAAGGAGAGGAGAAAAAGAAAGATGGCTTGGGAATTAGCTGGCCTTGCGTTCAGACTTGTTTTTGCCACATCCGTATGCAAAGCACTCAGCACAGCCCTGGCAAGTGATCAGGGCTCAACAAAAATTATTCATTATTGTGCAACCGACAGGAATAATATAACCTGCCCACTGGTTATACTGAGACTTGCACAGCTGGTCAATTGTTTCTCTAGTTCAATTCAGTTCAGGAACACGCAGGTGAGTGACACATACTCGACCCTCGAGGGGCTAAAGGTAACCATCAGCCGGCTGGCTAACCATCACACAAAGTAAGGCACTGCACCAAAAGAGTAGTCGCCCCCAAGTTCAGAGGTCAGGAGTTCTCAGAAGGGTCTTTTACCTATTGGATTGGAAAATACTTTTCTTAACAGAAGAGATGGTGCCTCTTATTGGAGACAGTGAAGAGAGACAGAAACTCAAATCCACTGGGTGTGGATAAATTCGTACTGCTGTTTGGGAGGATAATTTGACGCTATATAGAACATAAAATCAAAAAAAAACTTTAAAAAGTACTAATCCTTAAATCCAGTAATTACGTTATTAGTAATTCTTCCTTAAAAATAATTTAGAATATATGAAAAGATTTAGCTACAAAATGGCACGAGTTATCTGTGGCTCAAAGGAGTAAGGTGCCGGCCCCGTATGCCAGAGGTGGCGGGTTCAAACCCAGCCCCAGACAAAAACTGCAAAAAATGAATTAGCAATTACCTAAATACCTGACAATGGAGGATTGATTGAATATATTGAGCTATCTTCATGCAATAAAATGTTATTAAGCCATTAAAAATAATGGTTAACATTAACAGACCATTTCTATATGTTCCTAAATAAGAACGCAGATCACAGAATAGCCAATGACAGTACCATCTGTGTGTATGGGGGGGGGTGTCTGTGTATGTGTGATAATCTTAGAAAGCTATCCACATCAATAATCAAAGAAGTGAGTAAATAGAGTTACACAGGTTAGGGGAGACTTTTCTCTTAATTTTCCTTATTTCTACTTTCTAATTTTTCTCCAAGCTTGTTTTGTTTGTTGTAACAAGAAAATGAATGACTCAATTTTTCTTTCTGAAATTGCAGTTTGCCCACTAAACTTTCAAATTCCTTACACTTTTTTCCCGGCATCCTCCCCTCCCTGCATACTCAGAACAAACAGAAGCAATCCCGCAGAGCTGCTCTGGCGGAGGGCTTGTGGATTACTCCTCTTCCACTCCCGGTATTCGATACAGAACATGATGGATATTCAGTAAATGTTAAAAGAATGAATGGATAAATCTACAGACCAACAAATAAAAAATCCCTAACATTCAAAAATCCCAGTAGCAATTCCTATTGGAAAATAATAAAACATGTAAAATAATAAAACATAATGAATAAACACATAAAAAACATAATAAACACATAATAAAACATGTTTAATTCATTTCTCAACTCTCGTATATGGGCTTTCTCTGTGGGGGAGAGTCAGAGCCTTAGTTCCAGAGATAATCTGCTCTAATGGATTTTCTCTAAATCTCATGGAGAGTCAACATTTGCAACCTGAAGATGGCAATTGCTCCTTCTCAGAGTTATTATAAAAAGTAAATTAAGTTTATTTTTAAAAGAACACATGGTTCAACACAAACTATACAATTTGTGGTCTGGTTGTACTCCTTCTGCTGCCACTTATAATTTAACCCATATTCTCTAATTCCCCTGACACAGTCCACCGAAATCCTGTCTCGTCTGGGAGCTGTGGCTCAGGTTTCTTCTGCTAAGCCTCACTCCCCATGCTGGTCTCAGTTGGCAAAAAGAGGAGGCAGGGCCTCTGGGAAGACCAGCCAGCCAGACCAGAGCCCCAAACCCAGAGAGGGCCTGGGAGAAAAGAAACAGTCTCAACCTGGCAAGTCAAGAGGTCGCATTGTAAGGAAGTTATGTAGCAATCAGAGGTGACCAGGGAAAGAATGGCCCACAGGAGTCAAAGTGCTCACCTCTGGGGAGGTGGAGAGGCAGCAAGTTATGACGCAAAGATCTGCTGTTTGTTGTTATGAATTTTTAAGAACTGCCTTATTTTTTTTTAAAAATCTATTTATATTTATTACTTTATTAGAAAATAAAATAATTTTTAAGAAAATGATAAATAAGCTTGTAGTTAACCAAGTACAATTGTAGTTAACCAATTGTCCAAAGGGACAATTTGAGATAAACAAAAGGGCCACCTGGTAAAAAGACGTGGCATGAAGTAACACAACTTGTCCAGCTTGTTTGGAGGGTGGGTGGAGGCTGTGATGGGCCAGGTTACTTAGGATTCTGTTTTGCAGTTAAGTTGGGGTCACTGAAAAGGTTTAAATGAGGGGCAGTGCCTGTGGCTCAATGGAGTAGGGCACTGGCCCCATATGCTGGCGGTGGTGGGTTCAAACCCAGCCCTGGCCAAAAACTGCGAAAAGAAAAAAAAAGGTTTAAATGAGAAGCAGTATAATCACATTTTCCTCCCCAAATCTGAAAAAGTTACTTTAATTCCAGTATGAGTGACTCAGACACATCTGAACCAAGGCAGTAGCACTGGCTGTGCAGAAGGAATATAAGCGACATTCACAGCATAAGATATAAAAGGCCTGTCACCCGTGGGATGGGGCAGAAAGTGAAAAATAAAAAGGAGAGTCTGGATGACCCCAGAGTTTGTGCCTGGGTAATGGAACTGTGGTCACAGTCGCAAAGATACAAGAGATATGGGAAGACAAGCAGGTGAGGCATAGAGAGAAATTCAGTGTTGGGTACAGGCGAAACACCTCTATGCCTCTGGCCAAAAATGCCGTTTGAGAGAGAGCAGTGAAAAGACTTTGTGCAGGCATACTTGTAAGAAACTGAGGCAGAATCCCATGCGGCCAGGTTGGTTGCAAGCCTAACATGGCCAAGGCTTTGGCTGGAATAGCATTTCCAGACTGTGTTAAGGAATTAAGGTTGACTTTATAAGGCCAATGAAAAAGCCCTTTGGAAAACTGGCCAGATACCCATCAGTAACCTTTCCTGATTTGTGGCAAGTGATGAAGGTC